TATTATTTTTTCTCTCTCAAATATAATGACACCATGAACTTGAATTTAGAATGCCAGTTTGGTAGATCTGTGTGCAGTGACAGAAAGGATCCAATATTCAAGGACCTTTCTTTCTAGAAAATGACAAGTAGTCCCTAACTTATGACCATTCCTTTAGCAACTGTTCAGTTATGGTGGCATGAAAAAAGTGACTTACAACCAGTTCTTGAACTTACAACCATTGCAACGTTCCCATGGTCACATGATCAATGTTTGGGCACTTAGCATTTACAATGGTTGCCGCGTCCTGGGGTCACATGATACCCATTTGCAATCTTCCCTGCCAGCTTACGATAAAGTCAATGGGGGAAGTCATTGACGGCAACAAAAATGCCATAAAATTGGTCGTGACTCACTTACTGCCCATATTACTTAGTGACAAGTTCCAGTCCCAGTTGGGGTCATACGTCGAGGACTGCCTGTAGAACCTTTTTGAAGTTTTTTAGCCAGAAAAAAGGAGATGAAGGAGATATATAAAGTGATGCTTAGTATGGAGAAAAGTGAATGGAGAGAAGCTTTTATCTCTCATTTTCAAAACACTACAACTGGGGTCATCCAGTGAAGCTGTACAGAAAGAGATTTAGATTAGATAGAACAAAATATATACTTACATGATCCTGTAAAGTTCGTCACTGCAAGAGTTTCATGATGATCGGTAACAGTAGTTTTAAAAGGAGAATGGGTAAATTCATGGAGGGCAAACCTGTCTGTTGTTATTTTGATTCATTGGTTATTTTGTATAAATATTCCACTGAATACCAATGCTTGTGAAATTATAGCAAAAATAGGGACATGTTTAGATTTCTGTTTCATCTAAAAGGTATCTGATTGGCTATTGTGAAAATGAATCCAAGCCTGATTCAGCAGGACTATTCTTATGTTAGTCATTTTCATGCACATGAGTTGTAGGATAAACATTTACTATTGATCTGTAATGATTTTTTTCCAGTTTACTTCAGCTTCAGTGGAAGCAAGATTTAGATAAAGGTTTGGAACTTATAAGCAAAGCTATTGAAATTGATAACAAATGTGATTTTGCATATGAAACTATGGGGACAATTGAAGTGCAAAGGTAAATATATTTTTCAAGTTTGGCATCTAAAATTCTGAATTATTGCTGTAGAGTTTATGTATTAGATTCACTTACTGTATGGTTAGTTCAGGCAGAGTTGAAAGAACTTTTTGTGGTTATATTGTACAAATTTTCCCATTATGAATTTAAAGATAACAAAATGTTTTCATAGTCTTTCTTAGATCAGATGTGCCTAATCATTGAGCTTTTTTGGAGGTGGCCCTGCAGCTGTTCCCAAAATTTTATAATTTATATTTTTTAATGTCTTATTAAACCTCATATCAGTTGTAGACTATTTTTAAACTTTAAACGTATGTGACTGACTTCTATTTGTTGCTGTATCAGTCTTTGCTTCTTTCTTTATAATACATTTTTCACTATTGCAGGGGCAATCTGGACAAAGCCATTGAAATGTTCAACAAAGCTATTAATCTAGCCAAATCAGAAATGGAAATGGCTCACCTCTATTCACTCTGTGATGCTGCTTATGCCCAGACAGAAGTTGCTAAAAAATATGGATTGAAGCCACCAACATTGTAAAAAAAAAAAAAAAAAAAAGGAGGGGAATGATCTTTTACAAAGTAAAGCTGCCCACTTCAGCCTAGTCCTAAAGACACTGTTGCAGTGTGTTGAATGGTGGAAGTTACTTTTTTTTCTGTTTGTGCTGTTGTAATTCTGTTAAATGTTTAGGTGTTGTGGGAATGGCTATTCAAGAAAGGAAGCAATTCCCCCCCTTGCCCTCCCCCCATCAAATAATTGTTAGAGGAAAAACAAAATTGCAAGGGGATCAAATCTTATTTTGGCCATGCAAATAAAAATCTTCCTGACACATTTTTTTTAGGGTAACTGTTGTGAATGACTGGTTCTAACCACAAGAGTGTTATACAATATGCTGTTCTGTTGATTTTAACAATAGTGCCGTGTATTTTATATATATAAGAATCCTTTTTCATTATTTTAGGTTTGGGGAAACAATAAAAATTGTGAATTGTTTGATGGGGACGATTTTGTGGCAATAGGTACTGAAGCTTTTTTTTTTTCCCAAAAAAAGATCCCATATGCAAACATTTCTTTACTTCCTTTTGGTTTCTGTTTCATATGAGACAGTGGCTAAATTGATTTCAGGGCACTGCTCTCGTAAATAGTTTGTAAAACTTGTACAAAGACTTGAAAGCTCATTTGCTGTCACATGAGGGTATTCTGTGTTTCAAAAGCAAATTATTTTGATTTGAAATTGGAAAGAGTTTTATTATTGAACAGTTTTTCAAACCAACAATAGCAAAATTTCATAGTCACTACCTAAGAGATTCTGGAACTGTTCAAAACAATATGCTACAATTACTGCGTCATACAAGTAAGAGTTTAGAGCCTTGGAATGAAGCTTCGTTCAAAGACTCTTATTTGGAAACTATAGTTTATTCTTTCAGTAAACAATATTTTCTTGTATTGATAGTACAGCAAACAAAGTTTGTAATTCTGTTTAAACAGTCTCAGTCTGAATTGGAGTACTTAGAAAATTAAATATTCTGTTATCAATTGCTCCAATGTTGTTGGAAATTCAATCCATAATTCTTGTAGTGCTATTTCAATTATCTGAAATTCATTGAATATCTGAAATACATTTGAGTATTCCTTCATTGGAATTTCTTTTTGCCACCAATGCAAAATAAAATCATACTTACAATTTCTTCTCCCAAAGATTGTTGTCTTTTTCACTTACTAAAAGATGGTGGCTGAACTGGAATGATTGAGCAAAGTCAAATAATACTCAATGTTCAAATTAGAATTTCAGTACTTTTTTAAAAAGCAGTGCATTGAAATTTTATTTCCTACATCTCCGTCTCCATTTCCCTGCTATGACTGCATCATATTTTCAAAGGGGTTTTTATTTGCATGGCTATACAGGCACTTTCCCTTGAAAACAACGAAGAATTAAGCATGTGTGATCTAATACTAGCATTCCGAATTATCAGAATTTTGCCTGTTATTCAGATATTTGAAGCTGCACTGAAACTGCATATGATTCTTTTTGTAAATGACTTATACATGTAAAGTCACCAAATAAATATTATGTTCAGATATCTTTATACATCTGTGGTCTAGGGTATTGGTTAAAGAAATTTTACCGTAATTGGGTAAAGAAAATGTACTAGAAGCTGTTGCAGAAATGAAATTAATGAAACTTCTAAAATTCTGTTTATTTTCTTTGCTGAAATTTGGGGAGAAAACCTTTTCTATATTAGGGGTGAGTTTCAGCCTTGAAATACCCCAATTGTGAGTATAGATTATAATTTTCTTCAAAGTGTGAAATTGAATATTTCAAAAGACATATCTCAGTATTCTGGCTGTTTTAACATTGCCACTAAGCTGTTTTATGACTTATGATTGGGCTGTATTTTTCAGAATTTTTACAACCCAGCATGTGCAATAGCAAGGACCAATTATGTCCCTGCAGCTCTGAATATAGGGGGATATGGGAATAAAGTGTGTAAAAGAAAGAAACAAGTATATGCTGGACAGAAGAATATTAATAGTCATACAACCTTCTCATCTATTTGATAAGTTGCTATTTTTTTTAAAAAAAATGTTATAAACTAGACTTCAAATGGACAAATCAATGGATTCTATTAATGTTTTATTTTGCTGTCAGATAGTGCAGAGGCTGTGTGTTTGTTTGTGTGTATATACACACACACACACATCACATTGATAATGCTGCTGAAGGTTATATAAAGACTATTCTACAACATAAGGGTTGATTTGTTGTACATTAATATTACTCATGCAATTAAGAAGCATCATAAGCCACCATTTTTTGACCAGAAGACATTCTTACAAACAAGCTTAAATTTTATTTTAAAGATTTATATGGCCACCAATCTTAAGTAACTCTGGGTGACTTAAAACAATAATAAAACCAATAAATATTAAAAAATAAAAACTCTGCACCCCAATTGTCCCCTGGAGATTCTCCATAGCAGGCTCATCTCTCTTTCCATGCCTCCCACCCATACAATTCCAGCACCTCAGTAAAGAAAAAGAAAAAAAGCCAACCAATTTTAATGGTCTTCTGAAAGGCTAGAAGGGTGGAGACCTGTCAAATCTCCAGCAGGAAGATGTTCCACAAGGTAGGAAAGCAGTTGCTCGCAGACAAGCAAAACTAAAAAAGCTAAAAAAAGGATCCTACAGTACATAGGCCAGTAATGGCGACCTTTTAGAGACCGAGTGCCCCAAAACTGGTCCCACCCCTGCTCCACCCCCCTGCCCCGCCCCTGCCCCCCCATCCCCTGCCCCGCCTGCCCACAGGACCACGCACTGCCTCCAGGGCCCATTGCAGATCGCCCAGGCAGCCCAGCAGCGCTATGGCGGCCACACCCTCTGCCCGCGCCCTGCAGCATCAACTGCATGATGGGGGCAGAGTCTTGTCTATGCTGCCTGGCTGCCATGTCCTTGGCTGCGATACTCTGTGTGGGCCACGCTCGTTGGCGACTCTCCTTCAGGGGGGCTGCTGGAGAGGGGGTCACGGGGGGAGGCAAGGCTGGGGCAATGGCACGTGTGCCCACAGAGAGGGCTCCGAGTGCCGCCTCTGGCACCCGTGCCATAGGTTCGCCACCACTGACATAGGCCAAAGATATATTTTTAAAAAGTGTAAGAAAACCTGAAGACAGCTATTATGGAAACTTAAAAGTTAATTGTACTATCTGGCTTGTAATTGGTGATTGAGTGACCAAGACAGTTTATTTAAAGCACTAAATATGTGCAGTCTAGGCAGCTGGAATGAGTTCATGATGTTCCAAACCATAAACCATTCCCAGTTTTGAGTATAATTTAAGGGGAGGAAGAGGTTCAGAACATCTTTGGAATGACCAGAATGGTAGGTTTATTAACTGGACTATAATGCCCACATTTCTAAATGGTTCTCTAGATAGAACTATCTGAATTATTGATGAAAACTGAATTGTAGCTTAAGTTCATTCCTTGGCTATCAACTTCCAGATGTGGAACCATCCCAGATTTGGATAAAACTATTCCTGTAATGAGGTTTAATCTGATGGAAAGGAACCAGGGAGAATTTATGGATAGCTGCAGCTGCTCAAAATACAAGCTCTTCTGGGTCAGTTGGGGTGTATACTTTATATACGTTTTGGAATGTGGAAGTAACAAGAAGGTAACAGAGGCACTCTTTGAATCTTTTAATGTTTGGGACTTCTGAGAGACAGCATGCCAAAACTGCTTCTTTAGATAATAACTCAAATCTTTTTGAAGAATGTGTTTATTCAATCATTAAAAACAGCCCATTTAAAGCCATGTCCAATAATCACTACTGAAGCAGAGATCTAAATGACACTTGCCATTAATTAATTAATTAATTCATGTAAGGTGTCTGCAAAATTAAAGGATTTAAAGTGCTTTGCAGTCTGTTCAGAGCTTTCACATTGACCAAATGTATCTGATTTGCAAGCAACTGACTAAATCTTAATGTAAACGATTCTTGTACACAATAGCTCCACGTAAGAACTGGATGAACATTGTTGAGACTTGCATGATGCTTCAAAAGTATCTTCAAAATACTGTTGGGGGAGTTTAGCTAATTTAATCTCTGATTATTTTTCATAAAATCAAATAAATACCATACTTCAAAAGAAGCATGCATTTGATAATTTTCAGAAGTAACCAATTTAGGTCAACTAACAAAAAAGGAAACGTTCTGCTTTTACCCAATGTATTATTTTGGTAAAAAATATATTCTCCAAAATAGAGCATTTGTTGATGTGACTGATTATTATTCCATTTTCATAAAAATATTTTTATATGTGTCAGAAAAGTTTATAATGCAATACAAAATGTCCAAAAATTGCACAGACTAAGAAAAATTTAAGCTCAAAGTCTCACCATTATATGATCATTTTAATTATCTATAATTTGATTTACTAGTTAATTACACTGAATTAGTTAATAATAGCTATTAGAAAATGTGCCAGTCCGAATTAGAATCATACAATTTTTGCTTCCACAGTGTAAAGATCAGATCGTTTCTGGGAAAGAATGGGGATTTGTTCACGGATTTCTTCAGCCTTCTTTAAGTCTGTATATAAAAAAATAAAGCCATATTAATCCCAATTCTGTTTATTTCTCATATCAATATGATTAGGCAGCAAGTAGCTTGAACACAATTCCTGCCAACCACTCATTAAAGCATCTGTATTTTTCATGTGTGGTCAAAATAAAAGCCATCCCCTAGGAGCCATATGATCCTAGAAAATGATGCATGCTTTAATGAATTACAGAAAAGAGCTGCATTTGTGTTCCAGCTACTTCTGATGTATACTCAAGCAAATATGTAGCAATGCAATGACTTGGTATCTAATACTGTATATTTACATCTTTATAAGGCAAATCTTAACAGATTGAACTATTATAATTGCTGCACCTCTTACAGCTGAAAAGTTCTTAAATGACTTCACTGTCATAACCTGAATATGATAAATATTCCAACTAATAGGCAGAAAACTGAAACAGAACTTAAGCTAATTTACAAG